TTTTTATTATCAATTTTATCCTATAATATGTGTTGGATGCTGGATATTCACAATACTCTTTTCATAGAAAGTTTTGAGATTCTCAACCCAATTTTATGTTGTATAGTAGACATATTAATAGCAATTTGGATTCCAAATACCTATAAAATTAGTTTGAAAACAAAAATTTCCAATAAGTTATTTTAATATATTTGAATCCTAAGTAGTAGCAACCCAATTCCACCTAGTTTCAGCACTGACTCATGAACAGGCTTAGAGGGATTGAAAATACTAATGACTTTAGTGGCATACAAATTTAAAACAAGACAAGGAGTTTCCCCTGGCATAAAAAGACAAGGTAGTGATGAGAAAGTTCTTTACCAGCAGGGCAAAAAGCATATATTGAAGCACATAATTCATTGAGGGTTGATGGTTGATTGAGAACGCCTATTCTTAGGGTTTACCACTGTGTGTACAACATTATGGTAGGTCAGGTTAGGATGCAGTGCATACCATTCATCATATGCTTCCATAGGTTAAAAGTCAAACTCTCATATTTGGAGACAGCATTAGTGCTTACTTACTTAACCCTTGTACAGTTTCAAATCTTATAAAGTTAATTTGCAAAGTCTTCCTTGGCAGAAATGATGACTTCAGAACTGATTTTTATTTATTTATTTTTATTCTTATTTTTTGCCTCTTTTAGATCCTATCTTTTTCACTTCAGTAAGAATATATGTGATTTAGACTTTGAATCAGTTGATTCAATTTAGATTGGCAGCTTATAAGAGCACAAGAAGTGTAGGAATCCTGGTAAATGGCTGCTTGGCAACAGCAAAATGAGTAAGTGAATGACTGGCAACCTGGACTCTGCCATTCCTAAACTAAAAAGTAAATAAAGTAATAAGAATGATGATTCTGTAGCAAGCTATTTCTGATTAGTTTATATCCACTTAAAATTAGGCTGATTTTAGTTTAATGAAAAATTCATCTAGAATACATAAGAATAATTATAGAGACCAAATATGGAAAATAATATTTTTCTCAAAGGGTCATTGAGGGTTTTTATCCAAATCAGGAAATGACAGCAGAACTTTTATTGTATTATTTGTTGCAAAGTTAAAGGGATCAATTATGTTTCCTATAACGTGTGACATACAGACTTTTCCAAAGGAAAAAACAGTGCCTTTCAGATGGATTTTTAAAAATTGTGATAATTGCATAGATGTTTCAAACATTTATGATGTGCCTATTCAAGCATTTTAAAATCAGTATTTAGTGCACTTGACATTACAATTTCTTCATTGTCTAAGGTAGAATTCAGGATGAGAAGGTAGTGATACTGTCCCCTCATTAAAAAACAATAATAAAGTTTTGATCTGAGCTTTTGTCTATATTCTTGTGTTTTTAACTAACAAATTTTAGATATTTTCAAAGACATGGGTTATTATAGGTAGAAAATATTTAGCCAGATATATAGGATAATAAATCAATTTCCTTTAGCTGAATTTAAGTACTAAAATAATTAAGGTAGATATTAGTCTAAGGCCTTTTATAGGCTCATGAATATCCACACTATATGGAATTTTCATATATTGGACAATGGTGAAGTAAGAAAAGCTAATGTAGAACCTGCACAAAGTATGAGCTTTACAAAATAGAAGAGCACAAATAGGAAATTTGGAGGCAAACAAATGTTAATTTTTATTTTCTTTAGTTATAAATATTTCACAGTTGACATTAGAATCTTAAGACCCTAATTCTTTAAGCATATACATGTATATGTTTTTATTTAAATTAATTGTTAATCATATCAAAAGAAGTCAATATTTTCTGAGTTTTATGCATCTCCCCAACTCTGGAAATATGCTTGGAGTTGGTTAATCAAGAACTGAATATTTGTTCTCCTGTGTGAATTTCATTCTAGGATGATATAAAGTTTTGCTATGCAACCATAATCTTTCAAGGTTTACATAGGCACCCTCTGAAGTCTCCTAAAGATCACAAAAGAATCAAGTCTTTCTCTTTTTTATCATTCATGAACAACCTTTAATGTTTTCATTATGTAATTGAAGGAAATTTTCCATAAGATGGTTAAATATAAGGGGTCTTAGTAAAGTTTCTAGGAAGATTGTTGGTATATGATATCAAAGAAAGTTACAATAAATTTTGTAACAAAGTTCAGAGAACTGTGACAGTACACATGTTAAATACTTCACATATGTACATGTAGATAGATTGACTTAAATTTTACACAAAAGTAAAAATAGATTAGACATGTTTCTAGGTACTCTATGATGCTCTGTTTCTATAATCAAAGCACAACTCTACTTAATTAATTTTTACATGGTTATGGTGTTTCTTTAAATCTTGAGTGCAACAAACTGAAAATAATATTGATGGGTAATAGAAGAGGACTTTTCAAATATATAAAGCTGTAATGTCTGTTGTATAAGTAAACATTAACAAATAATTGCATTTTAATATTTTACATCTTACTAAGATTTCTAAGCTTCTAATATCAACTCAGCCCTAATCCTGATAGCATAGATAGAATATAAAAGAGGCAGGAAAAGCATACTAAGGTCCCTTGCTTGCTTTGCCATCTTCTGCCTTCCATGAACTGTTTATCCTCTGTGGTGTCTATCTGCTATGGCGTCCTGCCATGGAACCAGGCCATTATGCACTGAAACCTCTACAAACTGTGAGCTAAATAAACCTTTCCCCCCTTAACTTGTGGGTGTCGGGTATTTTGTCTCAGCAATGAGAAAAGTAACTAAGACACCTGATTCTTTTTTTCTCTTCCCCTCCTCACTCATATCTCTCCCTCCATCTCTAGATCCCATTTCTCCATTTTCATTATTGTTATTATTATGTTTAGTTTATATTTATGGTATATAATATTTACATTTATTTTTGGTATTTAGTACATGTACATGACATTTCATATCTTTTTATTTCCCATTTTTTCTCCTCCCCTTACCCATGATTTTTTTGAGCCCCTTTTCCTTTGCAGATGGTCAATCTTCCTGTTTCCTTCTATCAGTTCTTTATTTTGCTCTCTTTTTAAACTTTGCCTTACTCAAAAGAGAGAGCACATATGGTATTAAATTTTGTGTCATCTGATTTACTTTATTTAATGTTATATATTCCAGATCTATCCATTTTCCTACAAATGTCTTGAATTTATCTGTCTTCATAGCCAAGTAGTCTTCCATTAGGTATAGATACTATATTTTCTTTATCCATCATGTGTCGGATATAGGGTTGCTTCCAGAATTTAGCTATTATGAATCATGCTGCTATAAATGTTGCTTTATATTTATTGGTATAATATACTATCTTAGGTCTTCTGGGAAGATATTTTGAAGGGGAATAGCTGACTCAAATGGAATTTCTAATTTTTTGAGAATCTCCATACAATTTCCATAATGGTTATACTAGTTTGCATTCAAACCAACACTAGAGGAGGTTTCCATTTTCACCGCAACCTTGACAGCATTTGTTGTCATCTAACTTCTTAATGATCGCTATTCTTTCTGGTATAAGATGAAATCTTAGTGTTTTAATTTGCATTTTGCTAATGGCTGGAGATGTTGAACATTTTTTAACATGTTTATTGGCCATTTGTACTTTTTTCTTTTAAGAAATGTCTATTCATTTTACTTGCCAGTTTTTAAATTGAGTCTTTCATTTTGGGTGAGCTAATTTTTTGAGTTCTTTATATATTCTAGATATTAGTCTTCTGTCTTAGGAATATCTGGCAAAATTTTGATACCATTCTGTAGATTGTCTCTTCACTTTGCTGATTGTTTCTTTTCCTTTGCAGAAGCATTTTAATTTGATATAATTTCATTTATTTATTCTTTCTGTTATTTTTTTGTCCAATTAGTGTTCTGTTCCGAAAGTCCTTGTCTAAACCTAAGAGTACAATTGTTTTGCCAGTGTTGTCTTCCAGAAGGCTCATTGTTTCCGTTTAATATTTAGATTTTGATCTATTTTGATTTTTGTTTAGTAAAAGGTGAGAGATGGATTCACCTTCAATCTTCTGTATATGGATAGACAGTTTTCTCAGCAACATTTGTTAAATAGGCTGTCTTTTCTACATCTTGTGTTTTTGGTTCCCTTGTTGAAGATCAAATAGCTGAATATGTCTGGAATCCTCTATTCTGCCTCTATTCTGTTCCATTGAGCCACATATCTTTTTTTAACCAGTACCATGCTGTTTTTACCACTGTTCTTTTATCTAGCAAATTAGAAATTATTTTGAACTAATTTAAATTATAGAATAACATGGTACATGAGCTAATCTTAAGAGTTTTCATGGGGTACTTTCCCAGGAATAATTAACAAAGCACATGGATTAAATCTAATTGCGATTTCCTTTTTTTTTCTTTTTAGGGGCCTACTTAAAGTCACGCAGGTAGTAAAGAGGAGTTGCACTCAATAGTGGGGCTTCATATTGCTTATCTTGGGGCTCCAGACTTGTAGTTAGCAGTAATGGGAAGATAAGCTCATTACATTCGATGCTGACAGACCCTGGGAATGATGTTCAATATGTCCAAGGCAAAATGAGGGTCTCCAATGATTTTACAAAGTGGGAATGACAGACTTTAATGTGAAATTCAAAGCACATTCATAACAAAATGATAACCTTATCATTACACTCTCCAGGTGTAAGAAAGCAAACAATTACGCTGGGGACATAGCTCAGTGGTAGTGTTTGCCTCACATGCCTGAGGCCCTGGGTTCTGTGATCCTAGCATCACAAAATAAACAAACCAAACCAAATTCCATTCCCTCCCATCCCCCAAAAAACTAACAATAAAAAAAAAAAAAAGCAAAACACAACCAAAGAGCATTTGACCTACATGTGGTGGTTTGGAATGGGAATCCTCAGAATTCAATGAATTCTGCCCTGATGGTAATTATAGCAAAGACAGCTCATATAATGATCATTTATTTTTAGAAATCACAACATGATACAAAATAAAAATCCAAAATCTACTTTAGTTCTCTTGTATTGCATGAAAGAGAGCCTCTAACCCTAGCCAACAGTTTACCTTTCAAGGCCACAAACAGCTCACCATGCCCTCCGGGAGGCAATAGGACAAACCCAAACCTTGTTCTTACAAGTGTGTTCACCCACCCAAGTCATGGAGAAATATCACTGCTCTAACATCACACTTAAGCCAACTCAAATCAGGCTTGCTGAGACAAAGGCTCTTCCGCTGAGGACACTAGTCCTGGAAGGGTTCTCCTTTGACCAGCTGCGAGCTCAATCTTCTGTACCAGGCTCATGTCCCAGGGATGGGTCACAAAGCTCATGATGGTGCCTGGCACATCACTTCCCACATGGCCCCCCTCCCTGCTCTGTGGATATAATCCTGCAGGGTGAGGGGGAAATCATAATTGACAACTAGTCCCACATGGGTGCTGTCCAGGTCTGGAGAAGCTATGTCTGTGCAGAGAAGTATGTCTCGGAGCTCTTCTGAAAACGCTGAAAGATACCTGCCCTCATTGAAGCTGGCATTTCTCCCTGTAGACTTAAGTGTTGGATTTTGTAGTCATCTAAAATATATCCCAGCCAGTTGGCAGTGCTGGAGCTGTTACAAAACACTAGGACAGTTCCAGAGGGTCCAGTCTTGTGTTTTTTGTCATGCTGCTTGAGGATCTGCACCAACTCTGCCACTTTGTCTCCTCCTTTCAGCCTCATAAATATCTGTCTGACATGAGGCATGATACAGTGAAGCTTGGTGCTGGTGCTGGTGGTTACTGAGTTTGGGTTGGTGACTTTACTTAGCAACTGTTCAACACCTTCAGGAAAGGTGACTCCCACCAGCACTAACTCAACTTTGGGACTGAAAGAGTTGTTTAAGTCAGCTGGGACTTCAGCTATATGGCTCTTTCCCAAGATGTAGTCTACCAGTTCTAGGAAGCTTTCATCCAAAAGCGTATCTGCCTCATCTAACACCATGAAGGAGAGCTGCTCTAGACTGACCAGATGATCTTTCAGGGCCTTCCACCGAGCTCCTGGAGTGGCGACTAGCACATCTGCTGACTGCTGTTTCGATAGTTGCTCCCTGATCCTTCTCATGCCATGGCCTCCCCCTAGCTCCCGCACCTGTAGGCCCAAGGAGCTGCTCAACAGCTGGGCCACAGCGTGTATCTGTTCAGCTAGTTCTCGCGAAGGCACAAGGACCATTTCTTGGGGTGTGGGGATAGGGTGGGAGTCCAGGAGTGGCTGACCCATGAGCCATTGAAGCAGACGTAATAGGTAGACGAGAGTCTCGCCACTGCCGGTTTCCGCGGCACAAAGGACATGGCGGCCACGAAGCAGCGCGGGGATGGTGCTTGACTGCACAGATGCGGGGCGAACGACTTCTGGCACAGCCTCCTATAGTGCATGCAGTACATGGGGATCCAGATCTAGGCCCTCGAAGCTGCACCTAGAGAGGTTCCGCAGCTCTGGCGGCTCGTGTTGCGCGCGCTCCATAGAAAAATGATCCTGACGCGAACACCGGTGCCTCCAGCCACGCGAGGCTAGAGGCTCACAGTCCCAACGGCCCAGCGTGAGGCGTGCGGATTGGTTGAACTCTGGCCTCCGCGCTGAGACTAGCAGTGGTCCAGGTCTCACAAGCATTAGTCGCCGGGGACTCTGAGGCCTGCTCTGTGACCGTTCTTGCCGCCACTGTAGGGCCCTGGGAATGTGCACTACCTGCAGGGGGTCCTCAGAAGTAACCGAGAGGTGAGGAGCCCCAATTATGGTTTCTTTAAGAAAAAAAGTGCCAATTCCAAGTTGCCATGGTATTCATTTAGTGTTTATACTTTTTCTACTTAATTATCTTGGAATATCAATTATGGCATAATTTCTTAGGACTAGAATAGGTTCTTAGACTTCTTTCAGAATAACCTCTTGTCTCGGCATGTACTCTAGTAGTTAAAATAATTTCATCACCCATTTTTCTGAAAAGTCTTATTGATAAAAATTTTTAAATGTCTTTTTGGAGTAGCATCATTTCAAACTATAATTATGATTGTCTAATTAGGTTCAAATTTCTTTATTGATGGGATGTTATACCATAAACTCTACCAAATATATTGTGAAATTGGAGAATGAAGATTATAAAGACAAAGATTCAAAGTTTTGCCCTACTTGCAATCCAACAACTTAACCTCCCATTATTACATGGATGGTGGTAGAAAACATGACTCTTGGCTGAGAAATGAGGGATGCTGTATTGTTCCCAGGAATGACAAGAGACACATTATCATTTTGCACCATTTTCCAAAGCTCCAATTTCCAAAATAAAACACAGAGAGGCAGATGCCACACCATAGTTGTACTATCAAAGACAGCCTCATAGTGGATCAAAAACATGTTTACTTTGTGCAGCGGAGGAAGTGTTTACTGGTTAGAATTTCCCTGAGAAACGGATCCAGTAGGAAATACATGGATATTTGCTGTAGGATTTGCTACAGGAGCAGAGATTTGCTATAGGAATTTAATCACATGGCATGGAGGTCAAACTGCCCCAATATAGGCAATCAGCTCCCAGCAGAATGAAAGGCCAATGGTGTTAGTCAGAGTATAAAGGTCTACGAAGACTGGGGCTGCTGGTTTGGGTCCCAGAGTCCAAAGCTTCAAAACCAGGAACTCCGATGTCTAAAGGTAGGAGAAGATGGATATCATAGCTAAGGAAGAAAAATAATTCACCCTTACTCTTTTTTTTTTTCTTATATTTAGGCTCTCAGAGGATTGGATAATGCCCATTCACATTGGTGAAGGCAGATCTTTACTTATTTTAGCAATTTCAATGTTAATCTATTCCAAAAACACCCTTATAGGCACACCTAGAAACCATGTTTTACTAACCACTTGGGAATCCCTTAACCCAGTAAGGCTACCACATAAAATTGTCAATCACAGAAATATTATTTTTATTACATTGAGCAGTAAGTATGCCTTTTCTTTACTACCAAGGGACAGCAAAATTATCTCTATTTTCTACCCTTTCCCAAGAAAAGAGACAGTATTGTTGTCTTTCACTCCTTTTTGCTATACAAACATTCTTAAAAAGAAGAGTCAGCGACTCAGTTTGATAGATTACCAGAAATACGCAAAAGTTGAGAGAATTATATCTTCACAGTAAAATGCACAGCCTATATTCCCTAAATAAAGGACAGAAATAAATATTAGAGCTATAACTGGGCTCATTATAATGCCTCAGTTGAACGCAAAGTTGGATACCAACATTTTTAGTTTCTTATTGATACAGGATATTCAAAGAGTAAGGCTCAGGTAAATGTTACTATCTTCTCAATTTTTTTCTACAAAATCTGAAATATAAATAAATGGTACCTAATTGTTGTGAATTTATGCTAGATATTGACAATACAAAAAGTTTATTTTTCTGAAATGCTTTATCATTTCTTTGGAGAGACATTATATTCACATATAAAACAACTAAAGAAAAATCTATGAAGGTATATATTGAAATATTATGTGTATAGAATTAACGTTTTACTGATTGAGTCTATAAGCCATTTTAAAACATATGGCCTTATTTTATATCCCTACCTTATTTGTATTATCATATTTTATTGATTTTTCAATTTAAAATTTTTATCATCTCTAAAATAACTGTGAATCTTATATGTGATGGCATCTTATAAATAAAATAGCTGTATTTTCTATGTGGTACACATTCACATATAATGTGATATTCCATTATTCATCGTTTGAAATATAGAATTCCCATTTGGAACAGAAAGTAAAGCTCAAAAATGTGATTATTTTCTTAGAAGAACAACCCCAACAGATATCAAGGCAGAATTTGAACTTAGTCCTTTTACTCTAATATTTTGTAATTTAATGACAAGTGCTTTATGCCTCATGATTCAACATGTCCCACTTTTCCATTATTGATGACAATGAAAATTTCAAAAGAAACAGCATTAGCTGAATACCAAAGTGTTATTTGTTTCACGTCCAGTGAGAATTTCTCCAAAGAGTTGAAATGGTAAATATAATACGTGTGATGGGAAATGAAACAAAATATGCCTATATCCATCTGAAGAGTGTTTTTCTCCTCCTTCTCAGTGTATGGATATGTTTTAACTTTAGCATCATAAACACTTTGTCATCGTATCTTAAATATTTTTCCAGTTTATAGTTTGCTTTTAATATTCTGTCTTTTGCTGTAAATAGGAAAATTCTATTTTCCAAGTTTTCAGATGTACTTTAAAAATGTGTACATAATATTTTCACATATTATGTGTTTACTTTCATGTTTGCGGTTTACTTTTTTCATTATTGATGTTGCTACTGTATCTCATTATTTATTTATCTGTTTGCTTATTCACTGAAGTGGTCAAGTTTTTTTGTTTCACAATTCTTGGATGACCTGTGAGTCTGTATAACCTGGAACAGTCCACAGTGTTCAATTTCTGGGAACTGGTGAGATACTTAGACTCAGCCAAGAAAACTCTAAGTTTTGAAACAAGCATTGCAAATGCTTCAGATGCTTTCAAAAAAATTAAACAAGTGTAAAGATACTTTACAGATTGCACAACCTGGTGCCTACCTTCTTCCTCTTTCTTGTACTACAAAAGTTTAGTCTTAGCGATTCATGCAGATTAAGCAGTGTTTGAAGGGGGTTGCTCACTGACATATAGGAATGGAAGCAGGGTGTAGGATACATTATCTAGAACTTATGTACAAATTCCAAACTTTTGAGAGTGCACAACTATATATTCTAATTGCATAATGTTTACAAACTCAGTATGTTCACATTTTATTTGAGATTATATCTCTGGAGGCCTACCACAGTAGGATGCTGTGGAGAAGGCAATTATAGGCTTCTGCCTAAGAGAAAGTCTGAGTGTAAACAAATCAAAGGTGCATGGCCTATTTTGGGGCTTCCTGAGGCCTGATGACTCACAGGAGTACTAGACAGGCATTTTATCTTTCCAGTCTCCCAGGTAATTTATACTTCATATTCTTAATAAGTAGGAAGTTTTAGAAATTCTCCTATTTTGGTGCCTTTGAGAGCATTTTTATTTTTTGTGCATTTTTATTACATTATTTTGCTAATTTGAATTTTTTGGGAGAAGCATAAAATCCCCTTTATGTCTACTCCTATTCACTCTTTTCAAAAGTGAAAACACTCTTTTACTACAGTCACTTCCTTGAAAAGTTATCTGTAAATAAAAAGTTCATAGCTTCTTCATATTCTCAAAAGGATCTCTATCCCACAAAAGTTAATTAAGATTTCTCTGGATATACAATCTTTATATTAAATGGAAATATCAAAAGAATAAAATCTAAAGAGGCAAAATGCTATGGCCACCTAATTTTAACTTAATATATAGTGCTTTGAAGTGGGTGCCATGAAACATGTATCAAATCTAGAGAAATAAAATGTCCTGATTATCTGTGTTTGGCCCAGCATTTCTGTCATGGCTAGTTTCCAGAAGCAATTTACTAAAAGGATATATTTTCATATACTATTGAGCCTTATTTCTAAGTAGTCAGATCAAGGGCAGTTTTTTTTTGTTTGTTTTTTGGTACCAGGGATTGAACTCAGGACCTTGAGCTTACAAGACAGGCAGCAGAACTACTGAGCTAAATCCCCAGCCCTAGCAGTTTTTAATATTCATGATTCATTTCATATTCTGAAAAAGTATTTTAGAGATTTTGTGGAAGAGTGACAACAGTTGAGTTCTTCTGGATTGTCCTGGGCTTGACCCATTTTTAAGTCTATTCTCTTTAACAACAACAATAATATCTACCCTTTATCTATGCAAGAACTTTTCTAATAACAGTAATGATATTGTGAAATATTGATCACTGTATCTTTTTGTAATTGAAATCCATTACTGAAAAGCTCTTTGTTCATTCTACTCATGTGACAGTCTGAGAATTTTCTTTATAAGATGGGTTTATTGCTTTATAAAAATTAATATTTCCTTCTCAATTCTTCAGCCTTTGAAGAGGCCTACATATGTGGACCACAGTGTCTGTGGTCATTTCCTTGCTTTTATTTGTAGTTTAAACAAGAACATGTCCCTAAATATTCTAGTTCAGTTTTTCCTGCTTTCTTTGGTGTTTTACATAAATATGAAAATATACATATAAACATATAAACATTCAATATACATTATTTTGCATGTCTGATTTAATGTTATTTGTGAGATTCTTCCAAGTAATCTTTTTAAATTCATGCATTTCAGAAAGAACTTAATATGGTAATTAGCATCATCTTGAATTATTTTCATTTGGATAATCTTCATATAAATCAGTCTTTTGAGAAGTATGCTGTTGTTTAATGAAAGTGAAGAAAATAAAGGAAGAGGCAGTAAGGAAATAAGGAAAAATAAAAATAAAGAAAAAGGAAAAATAACAAGAGAGGGTAAACTTAGGAAAGAATAAAAAAGTAACCCTTGACTTACAGTGACAAAGACTTGTCTTTCACACTTAGTAGGCTGTCTTAAGTTGGCTGTGGCTATGCAGATTCGTACTCTGGGATCTGAGCTGAGAATCCTCTCTCAGGGCCATGCTTACTTCATGGTGGGAGGAAATGTAATAGTGACTTCCAGTGGGTTAAGCTTTTGTTCAGAAGTGGCATGTGTCACTTCCATTCACACTACATTCATTGGTCAAAACAATTTGTCTAGTGAAGTTTCTTATTAATTCAACAGAGAGAAGTGGTGAAAATTTCGTACAGTGATACAATACACCAAATCTTTTGTAAGGTACTAGTTCAGATACTTTACTCATTTTGCTCATTTATTAGCATCTCCCAATTTGCTAATGCTTTCATTTTGGCTTTTTAAACCCTTCTTTATTTAATATCTTTCTTATTTTATTTATTGTTCATATATGTTTATAGTTTACCTGTCATTCATGATTTAATGTTTTTCTTATTCTAACATCTTAAGATAGATTGGTAGTGCATTACCAACATTCTAATTTTGGGTTTTTTTTTGTTTGTTTATTTGTTTTTTGTACTGGGGATCAAACTCGGGACCTTCAGCTTGTGAGGCAGGTGGCAGAACCACTGAGCTAAATCCCCGGCCCAACGTTCTAATATTTAATACATACTTCCAATGGTATGTATTTCTTCTTAAGAATAATTTAAACTGTATCCTACAAATTTTAGTATGTGCTATTTTTATTAGCATTCATCCAAATAGTTTTATAAAAGTCTCATATGATATTTTTCTATAATCAATGAGTTATTAAATTCCAAACATATTGAAATTTTTCTAGTTGTATTTTTTAAATTCATTTCTCACTTAACTGTGTTTATATAAATAGTTTGTATAGGCTTGATCCCTTCAACTTTATTGACAAATGTAGGGACACTATTATAAATGTCGATTAATGTAGAAAGAGCTGTATTGTACATTCTTAGTGGGGATAATGTGCTGTAAGTGATTACTAGGTAAACTTGCTGTTCCTCTTGGCTCAGGCTGATATGTCCAGTTGAGTGTTTTTCTGAGTCTATTAGCTTACTATTCCCAATTCTGTATCAATGATGCTAGCTTAGTATTTAAAATTGCTATGGCTGTCGAAATTACACTCTAGATAATCAACAAATACTGCACCCAAAATACAAAAACAAATCAACAAACACTAAACTAAGAATACTAAAAATAAGGGCTTTTGAATCTCAAGATCAGATATTCAACATTGACTAGCACACATATGGCTATATCCTTATGCATGTATGCATACATAGTATGAGACTGAGAATGATTGTGTTAAAGTTCCTCACCAAGAACATGCATATTTTGATTTTTCCTGTTAGATATATCCATTTCAATACATATATTTTCATATATATATGTACATTATGCCATTATAAACTTGTTTCATCTTACTTCTAAATTGAACTTTTTATAACAAATGGACTGTTTCTCTTTGTCTCTAGTAATGTATATTGTTTTAAATTCTGTTTGGGCAATAAGGCCAAGTGAAGATTTTTTTTTTAGTGCATGTTACCAAATACAAAATTGTTAGGTTTCTTTTGATAAGTTGGTATATGGATTTATCATAACTTTATCATTTTCTATTCCATTACTCCCTATTCTTCCCCAACTCAAATTTATGAATCTTGCTTATTGTAATTGACAGTCCCTAGTTCCATCCATCTTCCTACAAAAGGCATCATTTCATTCATTTTTATATCCAAATACTATTCTATAGTGTATATATACTATATTTTCTTTACCTGTTCATCTATTGACCAGTGTCTAGTTTGTTTTACAGGTTAGCTACTGTGAGTTGTGTCACTATAAACATGGATATGCATGTATTAATATAACATGCTGACTTTCGTCTTTGGAATATATAGCCAGAAAAAAATGAATGAATGAATGGTACAGCTGGATGAAATGGTATTTCTGTATTTTGCTTTTTGAGGAAATTTCCATAGTGATTATAATATCTTATATTCCCACCAACAATATAAGAGTATTTCTTTGCTCTGGATATCCTCAACAGCATTCACACTGTTTTGTATTCTTGATGATAGCCATTTTGACTGAGATGAGGTGGACTTTCAATGTGCTTTTGACTTAAATTTCCTCTTTGCCTTAACATGGTAAGAATTTCCTCATATAACTGTTGGCAATTTGTACTTCTCTTGAGCAGTGTTTATTCAGTTCATTTGCCCAGTTTTTAATTAGGTTGTTTTCTGCAGGTGATTATTTTGTTATCACTTCCACTTTATTTGATTTTAGTTTTTGTTAGTACATATTTATAGTAAATAATGATCACATCCCTCTTGTGGAGTTGATACATGTACATAATACATCTTAGTTCTGTTTTTCATCCCCTCCTTTCCCCTCTTTCCCTCTCTTGGTTCCCTTCTATTTACAGAAGATCTAGCTCCCTATTTCCTATTGTCTAACTTTTGTGTTGCTTGTTATTTATATTTTCAGTTTCTCATATAAGATTAACTGTGTATTTAAGTGTGTGTGTCTGATGTATTTCACTTAATATTATGATTTCAAGATGTATCCATTATCCTACAAGTGACTCAAGTTTACCCTTCTTTATGGCAGAGTAATATTTAAGCTAGCAAAGATTTTCTCTCATTCAGTGGGTTGTCACTTCAGTCTGTTGGTTTTGTTTTTGGGGTTTTTTTTTTGTTTATTTTTGCTGTGTAGAGGTCTTTTAACTTGATGTGATCTTAATTTTTGGTTCTTCATATTATGTACTGTGCTTTTTGAGTTCTATTCAGAAATACTTGTGCCTATATATGGTTTCAAGTGTTTCCTGTATGTTACCTTCTAGCCAGTTTTGCTTTTGATTGGATATCAAGGTCTTTGATCCATTTTTATTTTAGTACAAGGTGAGAGATTAGGATCTAGTTTCAATCTTGTTCCTATGGATGTCCAGGTTTCCTAACACTATTTGTTAAAAGAAAATGTCTTTTCTCCAGCGTATGTATTTGCCTTCACATCAGAATTTTTTTATTTTAGATTTTTTCATCAAATGTATTTTTCCATCTTTTGCTGTCCATCCTTTGAATCCCTACTATGTATGTTTCTTGTTAATAAAATATTTACATTATTTACATTTTATACTTTTATTCACATATTGTACTTTAACATGCTATTAAGTGATTTAGTTTTGGCTCCTCAAGGATATAACTTGTTTTCTTTTTGAGTCATTGTGTGTATTTTACTGTTTCATTTTCCCTTTTTTTCCAACATAGAAATATTGATTCACTTTTATGAAAATGTGATATATTTATATTAAAATAGAGAGAACATTGTATATACCTAAATTAATGTACGTAGAGAAAAAAGGGGATTATCATGTTTAGGGAAAATTTAATTTGCAAACTAATGAAAAGAAAAATAATACAAGAAAAAATACAAGCACACAATAATTCCTAAAAGAGGGAAGTGTATGAGGGGAAAAGGCAGCATAGATGGAGCAAAGGGAAATCACTTACTAAAATGAGAAGTTTAAAGGAAGTATCAACCAACATTGAATGCAGATAAACTACATGACCTACTTTTAAGATCAAATTGTCAGTGTGCATAAAGATAAAGTCAGAAATATTCTCCATTTAGGGGAGAACTTATAGTTCATTGTTTTAAGCCTATAACTAATAACTGCAATATCTCTAGCACCCATTGGTCTGTTTCTATTTTCTCTTCTTTCTCTGGGTTTTGTTACTTTCTGTCATCCACTTGGATTTCAGACTGTCTGTTGGAAATTGAATTTGCAGTTGCATTTTGCTCCCTGGAATGAAATGATTTTTCTCTGGAGGATTTATATTTGCTTCTTCCTGGTCAGCAATGGGGTGTGACCATTCAGAATCACATGAATCAATGGCAGATATTGTGCTGATTTGAACTGAGTGTTAGTCCTAAAGGCAATCTATCATTTTCTGTTCAGATTTATGCCTAAATTGCAATCCTTTGGTATTTCAACATAAATCAAGAAAAATTATTAAGAACCTTCTAATGAATTCTCTCCTTCTAGTCCCTTATCCCAAAGCTTGTTAGCCTATTAAATTACTCCTCAGCCTCTCAGCATTTCAACTTCTTAGCTGTCCCACTCTTCAGTGTATAGGAATGATGGAGCTACAGTTTTATGGTCTGTTTCTCTGGGATGCTGTCTTTCTCCATATAAATGTTACTACTTTTTATTATGTGACTTTATTTTAGCTATTTTATACATGTAAAAAATTTAAAAATATTATTTCAGCAAAATAATTGGTCTAATTTAAGTAGCCTATCACTACTAACAAATGAAGCTCTCAGTATCAGGAATTTATGTTAATTACATAAAAATAATGCTTACATGTCTTTTTTTCTTTAAAAAAACAGTACCGGTCTTTTTAATGAAATAACATTTGAGTAGTTGGGGTGGGGATAATAAATATCTTTGTTGTATATACAAAATAACTAAGAGGAATAAAAATATTCACTTACAAAAAAAAATCATTCACTTACAAAAAAAATCATTCACTTACTTGTATTTGTTAGTATATATCACTAACATGGACAAATGCAAACAGATTTGAGTATCTAACTTCTTTATAAATTTCATTCATGCTCACATGTCAATGTTGTAAAATTTGAATGACACTACTATTTTTCTTCTTTTCTTAGAATTTTGGTAACTGTTGCTGCATAGCTAAGTAAAATATTACAACTAAGGCTGAAAATATGGCAATTTATAGCAAAATTATTTCTTTTTACCAGCTTGCTAACAATTATTTAGATTATTCATCTAATATAACTACCATGGCAATATTTTCATTTTGTTTTTGCATTTGAATGACTATTTAGATAATGGGATTACTCCAACAGAATTCTAGCATTTTTCTTTGCATGCTATAATTAAAGCTGGTTGTAGTGGTGTGAGCCTGTAGTCCCAGCTACTTAGTAAGTTGAGGCACAGAGTGGGGCAGAGAGTGAGTTAGTGACCAAATAAATCTTAATATCAACTTTCTTTGATAAAACTCAGTTTTGCTTTGTAAATCATTTTTCAAATGAAAAAAATGGGGAAAGCACAATATTAAGTTTTCA